AGTGCGAGGTGTGCCCCCCCCCCCCCCCCCCCCCCCCACACACACACACAGAGCCTGGGACACCAAAATGTTAAGTTAGGCCTCTAGCTGGTCTAAGCTATATAAGGAGCATAATTATTCAATACGGGTTCCCTTTTAATAAGAGATGCAAATAATAAACTTTCAAACAATAAGCTAGTAAATGCATAAATTTAGCCAGAAAACTTCAAGCAACTTAACATGAGAAGGTTTCAGCTGAACTATATTATTCTTAAACCTCAGGGAAGTATTTAGCAAGCAGACAGATATGAAGTAATTCCATACGAAACGTTACTTATGCTATTAAGTGATTACATGGCAGAGCTTCATTAAACATTTCATATGAGCTCATATGTTATCTCCAAAGGCAGAATTAATGGCAAAGTTAATGCAGAATTAGCTAATATGTACAGTTGAAGGGTAATAGTTAGTTCACACTTTCCCCACACTAAAAGCAACTCCTTTTGGTTAAAGATAAACCTGGGCTTCCAAAGTGGATAAACCTGAACTGCAACACAGCACTGAGATAGGGCTGTCTACATAAGGAGCTGGTGTGGAATAGCTATTTCGGGGGTCATCTCCATATAGATAAGTCCTAAAATGTAGCAGACATTACCCATTGGGTGTGTCTGCCAGTTCAATTAGTGTATGTGAATAAACTTAAGCTGTGGAGTTTTTTGCTTCCAGGCACACCATTTGAATGTGTGCCTGGGAGCAATTAACTCTGGAGCAATCAGCTCCAGATTTTATTCATGCACAGTATATGGAGCTTGTTTGGAGCAACTCCAGCTGGCAGGGGGTTCCAGAGGGCAGCCTGCCAGCGCAGGACTGATCTGACTCAGCGCCCCGTGCTGCAGAGGGACTGGCTGGGGCACAAGGGTGCTTCAGCATTAGGCTAGCTGGCAGGGAGCCCCAACACTGAAGCAACCTCATGCCCCAGACAGCTGGGTCAGCATCTACATGTGTGTTGCTGCACACAAAAAACCCTCTGCAGTTGGGTAGTACTTATATTTAAAAGTACTACCCAGCTGAGGAGTTTATTAGTTTCATGCGCCCTAATAGGGGTGCACATGTGGACGCTGAGATGTTTACTGCACATTTAAGTAGTCAACTGCACAATACACTTCTCACGTAGACCTGCTTGTTGTGTCCTAACTAGCAATTTAGTAGTGTTATGACTCTTCCAGACCCTACTTCCACATTCTGGGTTGCTGGAGCAGCCAAGCTGAATTTCATGCTCCTGGTACCTTATTAAATGGTTCTTATTGTCCTGTGACAATACAGGTTTTGTGCATAATCTGTAAGCACTAGCATCCATCTCTCAGACAAAAGGGGTGTTGAAACCCAGATAGTCTGAAGCAGGTGCAGTGAGAAGGACCCTTTTAGCTTTGAAATAGCACTCTGACTGCTACAGTACTTTGTCTGTCACCCAACTTCCACAATATTGGCAAACCCAAAATAAAAATAGCATAAGAAAAGGGTCTTTTAAAACTCTTTACCTGTCAGTGACTGGGGAGTTAGTCAGTTCAGCACAAAGTCAGTGTTCTTTCTTTCAGGGAAAATTCACTCTTTTCTTTTACATATCTGCCCATGGAAACGTGGCATGATTCTTACTGCTTTAGAGACCGGACAGTTTGTTTGCTATGAACTTATTGCATGCAAACCAAGTATGGATGCCCATATTTAAAAAAAACCCAATTTCCACAGATGAATTTGCAAGACAACGTTCCTAGAATTTGTTACAGAATTATTAGCCATAATGAAATCTAAACTGTTAATTTCTCTCCACTATCCGGACTTCCTGCTCAGATTCAAGAGGTGCCATTTTCAAAACTAATTTTCCCCATTTTTGGCAAGGCACACATTCCCCAGTCGCTGACTCATTTTGAGGGCAATTAGACGGTTGCCATTTCATTATGTTATTAAGTCTGTCCTAACCATTGTTATGCTTGAGCCAGTGCCCACTAGGCTTTTGAATTACATGGCTCCTACCACACATTCAGTAGCCATCCCCTCTTATCCTGTTGCTTAACAATAAAATAAATTGTATAGCTGAATCTTTGCTCTTTCTGTTTGGGGACCATTTCCTGACTTGGGCTGCATTACAGAATTTTACTAGGCACTGAGCTGCTCTTTATTTATTTGCCTGAATTTTATAATAATCCTCTTGTGCATGGACAATTTTCTCACAGTACCAGCTTAATATTTACATCACTGCCTTGTTTTATAAACCAAATGTAACAATGTTTCCAGTAGTTCAAAAATGTTATGAGATGGGTTTGAATCCACTTCTCCACTATTTGTATTAGGTACAGGTCTGTAATTACATGCAGTCAAGCTTCTGTTATCTTCCCTAGCAGTTTATTTCTTTCCTAGTGTCTGCTGCAAGGAAAAATTCAAATACCACAGCCTCTTGGAGAAACTTTGGTTCAGATTCACTGATCTTTAACCAGGAGTCCAAGTCGAGGTCAGCATCTGTAAAGTAGTCCCTTGCTAATTTATCCTGGCAGTCCAGGATATTGTAGGAAAACAAGTTTCTTTGGGCTTTCTGTCATTTCAGGTAGGGTCATTTATTTTCTTCTCACTTTTACTTGTGCTCTTGGCTAGCTCGGTGACTGGCTTCAAACCACAAAGACCTGTATCAAATTTGAATAATACACTCTCTTTTTTGGCTTCATAAGCACAGAGCTGGATCATTTAAGCAGGCTGTGAGAAATCCCTCTCTCTGTTCATCTCCCAACCATTCATTTTGGCTATGACATTTAACTGAGCCAGATGTGCTTATCTGGGATTTTTTTTCCCTGTGTAACATATTTTTGTAGTATTTGAGCTGGGTCAAGCAGACCTCTCTCTCGCTCTTCTAAGCCTCTGTTGGCTAGAAATGCGGTAGAAAAATGTAAAATATGTAGTCTTTCTCAAGTTCTTTGGCTGACCCAATTCCCCAGCTATGTAGCCAACTCTACAGTGGTCTGCAACCCTTTCAATTCCTTTCAAGATAATTGATTAGTTTCTTAAACATAGGTTCTGAATTTTGTGGATAGGTTTACAGATGTGTCTGGACATTTTGTTGGAGCTGCTTCAACAATGGTTTTTATTTCTGACTTCATTCCTCTGCTCTTTCTAGAAAACTTCCAGGTGTGTTTTATTATTATTATTCCATATGAGAAGTCTCCACCTCTTGACCTTAAAGCCTCTTGGGCAGCATTTCTGCTATGTGCCCCTGCTTGGTTCAACAGGCATAACAAATCACAATATGTCTCCTTAGAAAATGTCTTTTCTGCCATTGTCACTAGTGTTGCCCTTTTGGTGAAAGCAGTTATCCAGTATTCGGGGACTTGCAGGGCTATTTTCATGAGGGAAGAAATCAATTATATAAATTAGATATACTTTTTTGTGAAATAATTGTTTATTTGCAAGAGGCTAGAAAAGTCTTTTTCCATAGTAAAAACAAACCACAGCAGGCAGTTTTCTTGATCAGAATGTCCCGAGTCTGCTTCCAGCAAACCCCGTGCCCAAGAAGCTCAGTTTCTCTCTCTCTCGGGCTCATACTCACAGCTGTTTCTAGAAACTCCCTGACTTTGTGCCCCTACCATGTAACAAGTTGCAAAAACAATATCAAGTCCCTGAGTTTTCAGTCCCCCTCCATCCATATAACTTAGCTCTCACCTGCCATGCATCAATTATTTATAGGGCTTTATTATATAAAAAAAAAGCTGTAATTTCTCTTTTAGGAGTGTCTGAAAGAATGCTTCACACCCTTGACTTGAACTTGGTGTGTGATGATTATCTCTGAATCAAAGATTCACGGTATAGCAGCTGGTAGCACCTTTCAGCATAACAAAAGGATAGGAGCTTTTAAGTCATCCATTTTCAGTTGTTAATGTGATGTTCTTTTCTTTGCATATGGTTGGAGCCTTTCTGCAGACACCTGGGATACTGGAGATCTTGTAATTTGGTCATGAAATGTTCTGTGCAAGCCTTCTCCTATGAGGAGATTCTCACTGGATATTGATACTAGTTGAAGTCCACTCAGTCTCATGATGAGAGCTAATGCATAAAAGATGAGAATTTGTCCTTGACATTCATAAGTTATAAAATCACAGACATTTAGGAGGGAAAAAAGAATTTGACTATTCAAGTCTATCATCATTCCTTTCCTGCTGGTATCATGAAGTTCAAGTTGGTGATATTCTAATGTTAGTACATGTTAAATCAGGAGAAATCTTTTCATAAATAAGTAGGAGGGGGAGAGGGGTTCTCCTTGTAGAGTCGCATCACTGACTCTCATCTTCCTGCAGACACCTGGCATTGTGCAAGCCCTTTAGTGCTGCTTCTTTCAGTTTGGGATTGCTGAGAATCAGGATAACAGAATGCCCAGAGGGATATCCAGCTAGTATCATAATACAGAGCCATATAAGGTAGGGGCTGCTGGTAGCGAACTTATTTGTCAATGTAAAAAACTGTGCCAACATATAGAAAATGTACAGGAAAATGAAAGAGAGGAGAGCTTTAATTGCTCTGATATGAGCCTCTGCACTGATGTCCCTGGAAGTGCTCATGTTTTCTCCCATTCTTTTTGTATGTCTCAACAGAGAAGTGACTAGCAACAGAGATGGAACAAAAAATAAAACAAAAGGAGAGTACTGTCCAAGCATGGTCAAAATTAAGTAACTAAGAGATGTGTTAGTCTTATATAGACATACCACTGTGATGTTTCTGGACAAATTATCAATTGAATTGTTTAAGTAATTTATATGTATTACATTGACTGAAGGGAGAGAGGTGGCCAAGGAGACCAGCAAGGAGCCCAGAATAAGCCATGGAAGTAGCCCTGAAAATCTCAGCTTCAGCCAGAGGAAAAGGGGTTGGTTGAAGCTGGTGATCTTCACACAGTAGAAGACAGCGAGCCAAGTGGCAAACCAGAGACTGAGAATGCTCAGATACATCCAGGTAAAATTGATAGCTCTCCACATATTGCATTGTTCAATCCTCTTCTTAGGAATTGCAAAGAAAATATTATTAATCAATATTGCATGCAGTAAAAAAAATCTGGAGGTCCCCAGGCTAATCAGGACTAAGGCACACGAATCTAGTTTTTGACTTCTAATCCATGCAATGCAATTAAAACCTACTATCAATCCATTTGCTATAATACCCACAACAAACTCAATTACTAAACCTATCAAAGTAACAACATTTAAAGGAGTCATGTTTATGTCTATGGTCTCAGATTCCTACCCAGCTTGTGAAGCTCCAAGAGAAATTGCCCAAGAAGAAGATGTCTCTCTGAACTGCCAGGCTTCTGGTATCTGCTTGGCTTATACCCTGTCCTTCTGCCTTTGTATTGTAGCTGACAGTGAGCGTGGTGATATTTTCAGCTGTTGAATCTGAAGACCCAAGTGCATTTGCAGGATTGCAAATCTCAGAAAGATTCTATTACAGTTATGATGATCTTGTCTATTTCCATACATTTTATTTCCATATTTTGTTCCATGCTGCTGTGTAGTTAGAGTATTACAGAGATTTTCCATTGGATACTGTCTTTCCTTATTTTTTAAATGTATTTTAGTTATTTTTTCTTTATTTCCACACTGGATGACTACTGCTCATTGCACCAAGGGGGCCTTGCATATCATTTATAGGCTGTAGCTCTTGTACAGTATGACAGCAAGATTGTTGAGGCCGTTGGCCAGGAAAATAAGGTTTTTTTCCCCTCTGACATTTGTATTAGTTTGCTTTTTGTTTCAGGCTCCCTAACAAGACCTTAAGTATAACATTTACAGGTTTAAATTGTAGAGAAAATTTACTTTATTAGTGTAGGCAGAGATAACAGTGATAACTGTAGTAAACATTAAGAATAATAGCTACTGGTTGTTTTTCACTATAAACTGCTGTTTCCTCTTTGCCTAGAGCTTTGGAAAAGTTGGGCCAAAAATTCCATGCCACTTGTTGTTTTCCTCATGGTTAAAATAAAGTTTTGATATGAATGGTTCAGCCATTTCTGAAAGGGAGGCTAGTGAAAAAAAGATAGTTTTGCCAATGTAATAAACATCTTCCAACCATTTCACCGAGGAAGTCAAATGCCACCATCATGGCAGGGAAGGAGGAGACAGCTGTACTTGAGGTACAAGTTCTGTAGGGCTTGGATAATTAGGTCCTGGCAGTTGGCAGAGAAAAATTTTGATCTTGGACATGTTGGCAAGATTTATATAGAAAATAGCAAGAATAGGAAATAGCAAGAACATAATTTTGGTTTGGTTAAATATTATTTGACAGCTGAATATCCCCATAGATGTGTCAGAAAGATAGGCCAAGATGAGACGTCACAGGAGATGGGAAGTAGCTATTATCCTTCTATCGGCGAGAGAGGATAAACTGCTTCATTGGAACAAGCAGTACCAGGTTACAAGAAGAAAAAGCTCTAACACCGATGCAGGATCTCTCAATGTTTTGTTTGTCCCTCGTGTTTTTGAGACACGAAACACAAGCACTTTGATGTCTCATGATTGCACTATTGGATTCCATTTTCTGTTCTGCCTGTTGTCCAAGTACATTTTGGGGCTCAACTAAGAAATGCCTAACTGAGGAAGAGGTGTAGAGGCCACCAACATGTTGTTGGATCTGAGACCTTTCTCATCTTGATCAGCATCAGCTTCCTTCCTATCTGCACATTTTAAGAAAAAATGACACTTCCTTCTGTTGTCCTCACCTGATGAGATCTAGTTTTGAAGAATTTGTCTGGCTAGAGAAGACACATTTATTTTGGTTGCTATTCACCCATGATATGTTCTACATGACCTCCATCTCATGCTAAGGAGTTTTGCTGTGAAACGTGGCATACCATTCTGCACGCCACCCTAAAATAAATCTAATAGCCCTTACCTTATACTTGTGCTAGGCATATGCCATGATGTTTACTGTCTGTGGTGTCCCTGGTGGCATACTGTGCTTTGCTTTGACATTCCCTAGTAAAGTCTGGGTACAGGGTTGGTGTATACCCACCTTGGACATACAGAATATACCTGCTAAGAAAAATCAAAGAATGATTCTTCATTGGGTCGTGAATGAGGTCAGAGCTGGAAGATTATTTTAATATATTCTTGCATTTCACACCTAATGCTATATCTCAGGTTTCTTTTCAAGCACTAACTTCATAATAACACTACACAAAATTCAAACCCTTTCTTCTTTATTCAAATGTGTGGTGCACAGAACACTTTCCTTACAATATCCAGCTTTGTCTTTCTTTATGATGGTAATCAAAATAATGTCCTAATGACAACATTAATAATAACAGAGGTTAAAAATGAAAATGTTTTTTACTCATTTATGAAGCTATGACTACTTAAGCAGTTTTTTCCCTGAATTATAAGACAAAAACATAGGCAAAAGACAGAAGAAAATGAAAAGGAGGAAAGTTTTTGGGTTCTGATATGATGTGGATGAGTAGTTGTAAAATTATGTTAGGTATAAACTGGCACTCCGTTAGCTGGACAGAGTCTAGTTTGTTCTCAGGTAGTCAGGTCAGCCTGAAAATGGAGGCAAAGCCAGTTTGTGGAGAAAAGTTCCTTTCTGTCTTGTCACTGCAAGATCAGTCAGGCCAAAATTAGTGCTGTAGAAGAGAAGATGGGACTGCCTTTGGGGTGACTTAAGTACATTGAAAAAATTTGAGAGATACCTCAGTCTGGGCTTTCATTTCAGACATGCCTTGCAGTGAAGAAATAAGAAATGCAAGAGAGATACAAACAAACAATTCAACAAAAAGCTCTGTGGGTTCCTCTTCATTCATGGTCATCACCCAACATAGCAATTATGAAACAGTCCAGAATCTTTTCAGCAAAACTCAGAACTCTCCGACTTATTTGAAAAAGTTTTGTTCTTTAACAGCTGGTGTGCTCAATCTGAGCATCAGTCAACAGAAACCTTCACTCCCAAACTTATTTCAAACAAGGTCTCCTCGTACAGAAGCCACTCCTAGCCTCTCAGGATGACCCCAGCCAAAGGGAATTCAAGATTTCCCATAATTCCAAGAAGGTGATCTTTTGGCCATTACAGTTTCTCTCCTAAAAGGATACTCTGTCTGCAGGTAGAGTCCACTGTCCTAACAGAAACCCAGCTGCAGTCAAAAGGATGCAAATCACAGCGGGATCCCATTACCAACACCCCATCTCACATATACATTTCTACTTCACTCCAGCTGGATTTCTGTTTACAGTAAGTGATAGCAAACAAATTACTGCTCATTAAGTATGTGCATGGCAGAAGTCCCAGGGTCTATCCTGTGGCTACATGAACCTCAACAGCTGCAAGAATTATGTCTATACAGCCTGGATGATGAACAGGGCCTCTTCGTTGAGCAAAATAGCTTGATAGAACAAGAATATATATTTAAAAGCTTGATTGATATCTCAAAGCAGCATAGCACCAGTGGGAAATTTGGTTGGAGTGGCAGAGGGACACCAGTTCCAGGGTAGGACAGGATGATGAGCAACTGTGCCCCTTCTTGTACCTCAGAGTATATGCCCAGGTACCTCTTGTACCTCGGGAAAGACTTCTTTGCCTCCTTTTGGCCCAAGAGCTGAGGAAGGTGATTGGTTCTCAACTTGCCTTTTCAAATGCTCATCGGAATGGGTTCCAAATGTTGAGTCCAAATTGCAGCTTCTAAATGTTCAGTGCAGTCCCTTGTATTCATATTTGCACAAAAAGGGGAACCTTTCCCCCAAAGATTCCTAAAAGACATCCACTTCAGTCTGTAGCACACTGACCCACATGCCTTGTCCAAAAAACACCTCCTGAAAACAAAATCCAATTCGCCCTACATTGTGCCATAGGCAAAAAGTAGGGGAAAGAAGGGTACCTCCAACATCTTGTCACTGAAATGGCAGAGAAACTCTTAGGTTAATATGTGCTCAGAAAGTCTTTCTAGGCAACCTGGAGCCATCTTGCCACTATTGCTTCAGAAAAAAATTCTGCTTAGGGCACTATAACCATGCCTGAGAAAAGCCATGGATGACTCCTTATGGCTGGAGCAGCTCAGGCCAAGTCTGACTACCAACAGCCCCTGCAAAAGGAAAAGCAACCAGTACTGAACAGAGACTAACTGCATGCTGTGGATAACAGCACCAGCTGGAGCAGAGCCAAGGGTCACTTCAAAAGCCACCTCCAAGCCATAGTGTGTCCCACTCAAGCCTTCCTGAACATAGGCAACTGGTAGGGGGCACACAGGGGTGCCCCCGTGACAGGGCCGGTGCCCCCCTGATGGCTGACACTTATGCTGTCAGTAGGGCTGGTGCCCCCACTGACAGGGCCACCACCGTCAGTGGCTTCTGCGGGTCCCCCACCCCAGATTCAGGAGGCACCAGTCACTCATGTTCCTGATGGCACAGAGTCACAGCGCATATGGTGAGCCAGGACTTCTTCTTGGAGAATGACTGCAGACTGGTGGCCTTCCCACCCAGCATGCAATGGTATCTCAGCTGTCAGAAAAGCCTGAATTCTCCCCAGTGTAAAGAGTAGAGGAGAAAGCAGAAAAATGGAGTGGAGATGACCATGCTCAGAAACAGAGAAACCAAAAGCAGGATGGGATTTGTAATCCCTCGGGGACCTCTTCCCCACTAGTGAAGGATCAGCTTCTCAGGGCTTGATTTTCTCAATGCATGGAGAAGCTAATGAGCTCTACACTGAGGAAGAATGGTGGAAAGGAAGAGAGGTCACTCCCAAGATGTATGGCTAAAAGAAAATCCTTAGTTCCTCCTTTAGGGCCGTGGGGATTCAAAACAGAGAGACAGAGATGGGGGAAGGTGACAGTCAAAAAGTGTTTAGGTCAGAGCCACCTTCCATAATATTTGGGCACCCAAGCCAGGAGCCCTAGGCAGTAGATGTGGGCTTTCCCAGCATCCCTTTCCAAGAAAGGGCTCAGCAAGGCTGATAGGCATGAAGCTGGACATAGTTGCAGAGGTGACTCTCCAGATCT